GATCCTTTTGGATCCTCTTGGATCCTCCGGATCCTTTTGGATCCTTTTGGATCCTCTTGGATCCTCCAGATCCTTTTGGATCCTTTGAGATCCTAGGATCCAAAAGGATCTCAAAGAATCCAAGAGGATCCAAAAGGATCCAAAAGGATCCAGAGGATCCAAAGGATCCGAGGATCCGAGGATCCGCTTTTTCCCCCTTGCCCACACCCCACACCCACACACCCACAACCACACCCAAACCCACACCCACACCCACACACTCAATCCACATCCAAGACCCACATCGACACCCACATACCTACACCTCATTCAATAAATTGAAGTGAAATGTCAAAAGTAGGCGAAGATTCGACTTGGTTCGGTTTTGAAATTTCTTTTTCTTTGAGTAGAACGAACGAAATATATAAAAGAAACCAAAAATCAGGTGTAAGGGAAACCAAAAACTTCTGATATATTTGCTTGCTGTTAGACCTATAATGTAATCAAATTAACAAGATAATTTTCTACTGAAAAAATGTTTCTACTTTTTCTTGAAAAATTTTTTGTTGTCTTAATGAATATTTTATGAAGAGTGATATGACCTTGTTGTTCATTATGCTTAAATTGTTTCCTTTCGAAATAGATTTTTTTTGTTTTTTTATGATTTCAATTGTTGTGATGATATCAAAAATAATAATAAACAATGAAAACCTAATAATGAACTATTGATACCAAACAAAATAAACTTGTAAGATAAGTGAAAGTATTATAGTAGATTGAAATCTAAAGCATGATGTGAATTTGTTAATAACTAAAAAATTATTCTCGTAAGAATATTTGTCTTTAACAAGAAAATAAATAAATAAAATAAGAACGAAAACCGATAGTATGTTATTAACTTCGAAGGTGAGCCATTGAGTATTGTCAAAAGGATGAAAGTGAGACAAAATCAATTTATTAATAAAGAAAATAGACGTTCTTAAGATCAATTTACTTTCAAGGTTTCTTTCGATTATTTTGTATCAAAGAAAATAAGTCAATCTGTATTTATGATTTCTATTTAATATAGAAAAAAAAATCGTGTCAATATCTTCAATATCAAATCATTCTATAACAGTTGGTCGTTTCGTCAAAGAATTGAAAAAAAATGCTTGTCACCATTTTATTCTTCTTTGTTTGTGTTCGAATTTCTAATTGCAAACGTAAGTTAAATATAGAATATAATTTGAAATAAATTCTTATATTTTAGTTTGTAATGACGGTTCAAATCCATGTAAATTAGATGCGCCAGGTTCACCCAATGCATATTTTTTACCCATTAATGGTTATTATTGTCTTGATTCTTTCAAGAATGATGGAGTTATTTGTACATGTCCAGATCATTCGACAACACATAATCAACCTTGTCGTAAGTTTTCAACTTTTTATATCAATTAGATTATTTAAGTATTTTAGAATTTTTTTTCAAGGAATTTGTGATCGTGACCCAAATCCATGTGGTGTTGGACCATCAGTTGTTTCATGTAATGATATAAATAAATCTTTTATATGTGTATGTAAAAACGAACGGGAAGAATTTGTACATACAACAATATCATGTGGTATCCTCTTAAAGATATATTTTGAAAATAAATTATTTTATAGTTATTTAGATGAGAATTCTGTTATACCTGAAATAAAATGTGAGAATGATGGTGTTCGAGATCCAACAACAAATCTCTGTAATTGTCCAAGTGGTTTTACTGGTAGTAAATGTGAAACTCGAGATAGTATTAATTTCTTTTTTGTTTGTTTTGGTATAAAAATGTTTTAAATAAAAATTTCAAAGATACTCAATTGTGTGATAGGATTCGATGTATGTCAAATGGTGTATGTAGCATTCGTCCTTTATTTGATGGAGCAGCAATATATCAATCAAAATGTCTTTGTCGATCAGGTTCTGAAGGCGATTATTGTGAAAGACAAAGTAAAATCAACTAAATTATTAAATATGTTGTTATATTTATAACATTAATATTTTGTCAAGGTAAAATCGGTTCTTGTACAGCGTCGTATTGTTTAAATGACGGTATTTGTAGGCAACGTCAACTTGGATCTTCTAATTATAAATCTTGTCACTGTAAACCGGGATGGGCTGGTGCACAATGTGATAAACGTTGGAATCATTTTATTAATATGATTTTAAAAAAATGTTTGTTTTTTCTTTTAATTTTTAGAATATTTTCGGTGTCGAGCATCGGGATATTTCATCGATGAATTTATGAAAAACCAAGGAAAATATTTTTCATGTAAACTTTTGAATAATGGTTTGGGTATATTGTATTTATTTTGAATTAATTATTTGTATTTAAATTATTTATTTATAGATTACTTACTTCAACAACGATCGTGTCCGAAAGGCCTCAAATTTAAACTTGAAAAACAATTATGTCTTTTATGAGTTAAATACTTTATAAGAAGAAAAAAACTCTGGAATTTTCTTTGTTTTTTTATCTAATCTTATGCTGCAGAATATTTTCTTTTCTTAGGCTTTTTTAAATACTGTTTCAAGATTTCAATAAATTAGATTTGCATGGGACGATTAAATCAATTGAAGAACTAAATCAAATCAGAAAGTAATGTTTTCATTTTAAAACTTTTCCTTCATCTTATCAATCATGTAAAAATGATAAGCAGATTTTTTTAAGTATTTACCAATCCCAAACATATTGATTATTATAGAATAAAGATAAAGAAACATTTTTTTAGATGATCTATAGATTGGTCCTTGTTATAATAAATCATTTTGCAAAAGTCTTATCGATAGAAAATGTTCAGATGAAAATCACTGTTCTTGATTCACTTCCTCTGAAAGGTCTAGTTTGCAAAAAAGAACTTTGCGAAAGAGTCCATTTTCTCATTTACACTAAATGAGTTTCTATTTAAAAGAAAAATGTCATTTATTAAATATATATGAACAGAAGAAATGGCAGCTTATTGCATTTCAATTTTTAATCACTTCATACGTTGTATCAAAAAATTAAATCACAAGATACAATGTAAATAGCTCTAGAATTGATAAAGGGCGGCTTATTTCATCTATTCACCTTCCCTTTTCGAAATTGACATTTTATGCGACTAAATTTCGATGATGCCAACAAGATCATTTATTGATAAGCGACGCATTCTTTTATTTATGTTTCTGTTAATGAGTCTTATCAAAGGTCATGATTGATGACCGAATTGATCCCTATCGATCTGTATTTCGATTGTATTTCTCCATCTATCCAAATATAGAGAAACAACAGTAAGTATTAGTTTTTTTTTTCATAAGTCCTAGGATCGATAGGCTCCTATAATCATAAAAGATAGAGTCAGATCGCATTCAACTTTTTTTTTATATCAAAGACGATTCAACAGCAATTATTATCATTGATTAATAACCTATAGACAATCAAACCGATAGTGACAAGTACTAAAACTGTACATTTTCTATCGATGAATGACATTAGAAAAACTTCTCTAAAGTGGAAGAATTTATTCAAGATTGTTATACCCTGCAAGTCTAATTTATTCACAGTGATCAATATTAAGAGTTGTTTAA